GCGGTACAAGGGGCCCATGGCAGATTAGGGGCCTGGCAGCAGCAATGGGAGGACCCGTAATCTGCCAGCACCCTATGACAAAATGAACCCAGCAGCAGTGTGATGAGACCTGAAAAAGTGGCACATGGCAGAGTGTGGCGATGGAGACAGCAAGCAATGGGGCGGTACAGGGAACCCATGAGAACACTGTGGACCTGGCAGCAGCATGAGGAGGCGGTACAGGGGCCCATGCATGGCAGATTAGGGGCCTGGCAGCAGCAATGGGAGGCCCGTAATCTGCCAGCACCTATGACAAAATGGAACCCAGCAGCAGTGTGAGGAGACCTGAAAGTGGCACATGGCAGAGTGTGGCGATGGAGACAGCAGCAATGGGAGGCCATACAGGGACCCATGAGACACTGTGGACCTGGCAGCAGCATGAGGAGCGGTATGACAGGGAACGGGGGCCCATGGCAGATTAGGGCCTGGCAGCAGCAATGGGAGGCCCGTAATCTGCCAGCACCCTATGACAAAATGGAACCCAGCAGCAGTGTGAGGAGACCTGAAAGTGGCACATGGCAGAGTGTGGCGATGGAGACAGCAGCAATGGGAGGCGGTACAGGGACCCATGAGACACTGTGGAACTGGCAGCAGCATGAGGAGGCGGTACAGGGGCCCATGGCAGATTAGGGGGCCTGGCAGCAGCAATGGGATGGGGCCCGTAATATGCCAGCACCCTATGACAAAATGGAACCCAGCCAGCAGTGTGAGGAGACCTGAAAGTGGCACATGGCAGAGTGTGGCGAATGGAGACAGCAGCAATGGGAGGGCCGTACAGGGAACCATGAGACACTGTGGAACCTGGCAGCAGCATGAGGAGGTGGTACAGGGGCCCATGGCAGATTACGGGCCTGGCAGCAGCAATGGGAGGCCCGTAATCTGCCAGCACCTTATGACAAAATGGAACCCAGCAGCAGTGTGAGGAGACCTGAAAGTGGCACATGGCAAGAGTGGCGATGGAGACAGCAGCAATGGGAGGCGGTACAGGGACCCATGAGACACTCTGGACCTGGCAGCAGCATGAGGAGGCGGTACAGGGGCCCATGGCAGATTAGGGGGCCTGGCAGCAGCAATGGGAGGCCCTGTAATCTGCCAGCACCCTATGACAAAATAGAACCCAGCAGCAGTGTGAGGAGACCTGAAAGTGGCACATTGCAGAGCGTGGCGATGGAGACAGCAGCAATGGGAGGCCGTACAGGGACCCATGAGACACTGTGGACCTGGCAGCAGCATGAGGAGGCGGTACAGAGGCCCATGGCAGATTAGGGGCCTGGCAGCAGCAATGGGAGGCCCGTAATTCTGCCAGCACCCTATGACAAAATGGAACCCAGCAGCAGTGTGAGGAGACCTGAAAGTGGCACATGGCAGAGTGTGGCAATGGAGACAGCAGCAATGGGAGGCGGTACAGGGACCCATGAGACACTGTGGACCTGGCAGCAGCATGAGGAGGCGGTACAGGGGCCCATGGCAGATTAGGGGCCTGGCATTAGCAGCAATGGGAGGCCCGTAATCTGCCATCACCCTATGACAAAATGGAACCCAGCAGCAGTGTGAGGAGACCTGAAAGTGCACATGGCAGAGTGTGGCGAAGGAGACAGCAGCAATGGGGAGGCCGTACAGGGACCCATGAGACACTGTGGACCTGGCAGCAGCATGAGGAGGCGGTACAGGGGCCCATGGCAGATTACAGGGGCCTGGCAGCAGCAATGGGAGGCCCGTAATCTGCCAGCACCCCCTATGACAAAATGGAACCCAGCAGCAGTTTGAGGAGACCTGAAAGTGGCACATGGCAAAGTGTGGCGAAAGGAGACAGCAGCAATGGGAGGCCGTACAGGGACCCATGAGACACTGTGGACCTGGCAGCAGCATGAGGAGGCGTACAGGGGCCCTTGGCTAAGATTAGGGGCCTGGCAGCAGCAATGGGAGGGGCCCGTAATCTGCCAGCACCTTATGACCAAAATGGAACCCAGCAGCAGTGTGAGGAGACCTTAACAATAAAGTGGCACGCTAATGGCAGAGTGTGACGATGGAGACAGCAGCAATGGGAGGCGGTACAGGGACCCATGACACACTGGACACTGGCAAAGGACCTGGCAAGTAGTCAGCATGAGGAGGCAGTACAGGGGCACATGCAGATTATATTCGGGCCTGGCAGCAGCAATGATGGGAGGCCCCGTAATCTGACAGCACCCTATGACAAAATGGAACCCAGCAGGAGTGTGGGGAGACCTGAAAGTGGCACATGGCAGAGCGTAGGCGATGGAGACAGCAGCAAAGGGAGGCGGTTTTTAAAGGGACCCATGAGACACTGTGGACCCTGGCAGCAGCATGAGGATGCGGTACAGGGGCCCATGGCAGATTAGGGCCTGGCAGCAGCAATGGGAGGCCCGTAAATCTGCCAGCACCCTATGACAAAATTGGAACTGTCCCAGCAGCAGTGTGAGTAGACCTGACAGCGGCAACATGGCAGAGTGTGGCGATGGAGACAGCAGCAATCGGAGGCCGTACAGGGACCCATGAGACACTGTGGACCTGGCAGCAGCATGAGGAGTTTGGTACAGGGGCCCATGGCAGATTAGGGGCCTGGCAGCAGCAATGGGAGGCCCGTAATCTGCCAGCACCTTATGACAAAATGGAACCCAGCAGCAGTGTGAGGAGACCTGAAAGTGGCACATGGCAGAGTGTGGCGATGGAGACAGCAGCAATGGGAGGCGGTACAAGGGACCAATGACACACTGTGGACCTGCAGCAGCATGAGGAGGCAGTACAGGGGCCCATGGCAGAAAATTACGGGGCCTGGCAGCAGCAATGGGAGGCCCGTAATCTGCCAGCACCCTATGACAAAATGGAACCCAGCAGCAGTGTGAGGAGAACCTGAAAGTGGCACATGGCAGAGTGTGGCGATGAGACAGCAGCAATGGGAGGGCCGTACAGGGACCCATCAGACTCTGTGGACCTGGCAGCAGCATGAGGAGGCGGTACAGAGGCCCAATGACAGATTAGGGGCCTGGCAGCAGCAATGGGCGAGGCCCGTAATCTGCCAGCACCTTATGACAAAATGGAACCCATCCAGCAGTGTGAGGAGACCTGAAAGTGGCACATGGCAGAGTGTGGCGATGGAGACAGCAGAAATGGAGAGGCGTACAGGGACCAATGACACACTGTGGACCTGGCAGCAGCATGAGAGGGAGGCAGTAACAGGGGCCCATGGCAGATTAGGGGCCTGGCAGCAGCAATGGGAGGCCCGTAATCTGCCAGCACCCTATGACAAAATGGAACCCAGCAGTGTGAGGAGACCTGAAAGTGGCACATGGCAGAGTGTGGCGAAGGAGACAGCAGCAATGGGAGGCCGTACAGGACCCATGAGACACTGTGGACCTGGCAGCAGCAAGAGGAGGCGGTACAGGGGCCCATGGCAGATTAGGGCCTGGCAGCAGCAATGGGAGGCCCGTAATCTGCCAGCACCCTATGACAAAATGGAACCCACCAGCAGTGTGAGGAGACCTGAAAGTGGCACATGGCAGAGTGTGGCGATGGAGACCAGCAGCAATGGGAGGCCGTACAGGGACCCATGACACACTGGACCTGGCAGCAGCATGAGGAGGGGGATTAGCGGTACAGGGGCCCCATGGCAAGATTACGGGCCTGGCAGCAGCAATGGGAGGCCCGTAATCTGCCAGCACCCTATGACAAAATGGAACCCAGCAGCAGTGTGAGGAGACCTGAAAGTGGCACATGGCAGAGTGTGGCGAAGGAGACAGCAGCAATGGGAGGCCGTACAGGGACCCATGAGACACTCTGTGGACCTGGCAGCAGCATGAGGAGGCGGTACAGGGGCCCATGGCAGATTAGGGCCTGGCAGAAGCAATGGGAGGCCCGTAATCTGCCAGCACCCTATGACAAAATGGAACCACCAGCAGCAGTGAGGAGACCTGAAAGTGGCACATGAGCCGAGAGCGTGGCGATGGAGACAGCAGCAATGGAGGCCGGTACAGGGACCCATTAGACACTCTGGACCTGCAGCAGCATGAGGAGGCGGTACAGGGGCCCATGGCAGATTAGGGGCCTGGCAGCAGCAATGTGGGAGGCCCGTAATCTGCCAGCACCCTATGACAAAATGGAACCCCCAGCAGCAGTGTGAGGAGACCTGAAAGTGGCACATGCAGAGTGTGGCGATGGAGAAGCAGCAATGGGAGGCGGTACAGGGACCCATGAGACACTGTGGACCTGGCAGCAGCATGAGGAGGCGGTACATAGGGGGCCCATGGCAGATTAGGGCCTGGCAGCAGCAATGGGAGGCCCGTAATCTGCCAGCACCCTATGACAAAAAAGAACCCAGCAGCAGTGTGAGGAGACCTGAAAGTGGCACATGGCAGAGTGTGGCGATGGAGACAGCAGCAATGGGAGGCCGTACAGGGACCCATGAGACACTCTGGACCTGGCAGCAGCATGATGGGAGCGGTACAGGGGCCCATGGCAGATTACGGGCCTGGCAGCAGCAATGGGAGGCCCGTAATCTGCCAGCACCCTATGACAAAATAGAACGCACCAGCAGTGTGAGGAGACATGAAAGTGGCACATGGCAGAGCGTGGCGATGGAGACAGCAGCAATGGGAGGCGGTAAAGGGACCCATGAGACACTGTGGACGGGCTTGACCTGGCAGCAGCATGAGGAGGCGGTACAGGGGCCCATGGCAGATTAGGGGCCTGGCAGCAGCAATGGGAGGCCCGTAATCTGCCAGCACCCTATGACAAAAATGGAACCCAGCAGCAGTGTGAGGAGACCTGAAAGTGGCACATGGCAGAGTGTGGCGATGGAGACAGCAGCAATGGGAGGCCGTACAGGGGACCCATGAGACACTGTGGACCTGGCAGCAGCATGAGGAGGCGGTACAGGGGCCCATGGCAGATTAGGGGCCTGGCAGCAGCAATGGGAGGCCCGTAATCTGCCAGCACCCTTATGACAAAATGGAACACAGCAGCAGTGTGAGGAGACCTGAAAGTGGCACATGGCAGAGTGTGGCGATGGAGACAGCAGCAATGGGAGGCGTGTACAGGTACCCATGAGACACTGTGGACCTGGCAGCAGCATGAGGAGGCGGTGCAGGGGCCCATGGCAGATTACGGGCCTGGCAGCAGCAATGGAGGCCCGTAATCTGCCAGCACCCTATGACAAAATGGAACCCAGCAGGCAGTGTGAGGAGACCTGAAAGTGGCACATGGCAGAGCGTGTGGCGATGGAGACAGCAGCAATGGGAGGCCGTACAGGGACCCATGACACACTGTGCACCTGGCAGCAGCATGAGGAGGCGGTACAGGGGCCCATGGCAGATTAGGGGCCTGGCAGCAGCAATGGGAGCCCGTAATCTGCCAGCACCCTATGACAAAATGGAACCCAGCAGCAGTGTGAGGAGACCTGAAAGTGGCACATGGCAGAGTGTGGCGATGGAGACAGCAGCAATGGGAGGCGGTACAGGGACCCATGAGACACTGTGGACCTGGCAGCAGCATGAGGAGGCGGTACAGGGGCCCATGGCAGATTAGGGCCTGGCAGCAGCAATGGGGGAGCCCGTAATCTGCCAGCACCCTATGACAAAATGGAACCCAGCAGCAGTGTGAGGAGACCTGAAAGTGGCACATGGCAGAGTGTGGCGATGGAGACAGCAGCAATGGGAGGCCGTACAGGGACCCATGAGATACTGTGGACCTGGCAGCAGCATGAGGAGAGGCGGTACAGGGGCCCATGGCAGATTAGGGGCCTGGCAGCAGCAATGGGAGGCCCGTAATCTGCCAGCACCCTATGACAAAATGGAACCCAGCAGCAGTGTGAGGAGACCTGAAAGTGGCACATGGCAGAGCATGGCGATGGAGACAGCAGCAATGGGAGGCCGTACAGGGACCCATGACACACTGTGGACCTGGCAAGCAGCATGAGGAGGCGGTACAGGGGCCCATGGCAGATTACGGGCCTGGCAGCAGCAATGGGAGGCCCGTAATCTGCCAGCACCCTATGACAAAATGGAACCCAGCAGCAGTGTGAGGAGACCTGAAAGTGGCACATGGCAGAGTGTGGCAATGGAGACAGCAGCAATGGGAGGCCGTACAGGGATACCCATGAGACACTCTGGACCTGGCAGCAGCATGAGGAGGCGGTACAGGGGCCCATGGCAGATTACGGTCCTGGCAGCAGCAATGGGAGGCCCGTAATCTGCCAGCACCCTATGACAAAATGGAACCCACACCAGCAGTGTGAGGAGACCTGAAAGTGGCACATGTTTGGGGCATGATTCATGGCGGATTTAGTCAGTTGTGTCAGGAACTGGTGGTTTGAATCCAGACTAATCCACGCCTGATTCATTTTCACAAACGTGAGTCTCTCCACACTTTGGGTGGACAGTCGTGTCCTCCGCGGAGTTACAATACCTCCTGCCGCACTAAACACGCGCTCCGATGCCACGCTACTGGCCGGGCATGACAGCCTTTCAAGGGCAAATTCAGCTAGTTGGGGCCAAAGGTCAAGTTTCGTTGCCCAGTAGTCAAGGGGATTGTCTACCTCGTTGGCAGGGTGCTGTCCAAGTAGGCCCAAGCCTGTTGTTTGAGTCCTGCTCCAGGTCCACCTGATGCTGCTGCTGCTGCTGCGGCTGGTTAGTAGTTTCCTCACTGCGCTGGTGAAGAAAGCTACTCATCATCGACTGCAGACTGAGGCAGCCGCTGCTGGTGGAGCTGCCACTGCTCCTACCACCCCACCCCTCCCCTGCTGCCATGGCAGCGGAACGCGAGCGCACAGGGCCCACAGTGTCTGAGGATGGACGTTGGCGCACAAAGGCAGAGACCAACTGACTACATAGGTGGTTTTTATAGTACGTTATTTTGGCCTCCCTCTCAGCAGGTGTGAAAAAGGCCACCATTTTTGAACGGTAGCGAGGGTCCAACAAGGTGGACAGCCAAAAGTCATCCCTCTGTCTGATGGTTATTATTCGGCTGTCGCTACGCAAGCAACCGAGCATGCTATGGGCCATTTGTGCCAAGGAATGCGAGGGACTCCACCCTGCCCTCCATCTCCACAGCATACTGCCACGGTGCGTCTGGGTCCTCTGTCTCCTCCTCCTCCTCCTCCTCTACCAGATGCTCCTCCTGCTCCTCCACTCCTGTCCCGCGCTGAGTGGAAAAACCACCCATTTCACTCAATAATTCCTGAGCACCAATGTCCTCCTCTACCTCCTCCTCTTCTTCCTGTCCTGCCCCCACAGGGTCATGTGGCGTTGAGATCTGTGCGCCACGTCTACCGCACCCTGACCAGCCATTGTTAACAGCATTTGTTCCAGGACGTGCAACAGAGGAATGACGTCGTTCATCCCATAGTCCTGCCGACTCACGAATAGCGTGGCCTCCTCAAAGGGCCTGAGCAAGCGGCAGGTGTCACGCATGAGCTGCCAATGGCTGACATCGAAGTTACACAGGGGAGTACCTTTATCCGCTTGTAACATCAGGAAATCGGTGATGGCCTTTCGCTGTTCGTAAAGGCGGTCTAACATGTGTAGGGTTGAATTCCACCTTGTTGCAACGTCGCAGATCAGGCGATGCTGTGGAATTCCGTTCTGCCGCTGCAGCTCAAGGAGGGTGTGCTTTGCAGTGTAGGAATGGCTGAAATGCATGCAAAGTTTACGTGACATTTTAAGGATGTCTTGCAGTGGGATGGTGGGATTTTAGGAACCGCTTGACAACCAGATTGAACACGTGAGCCATGCATGGCGCATGGCACAACCTTCCTTGACGCAGAGCAGACACCATGTTCTTTCCGTTGTCGGTCAACATGGTTCCGATTTTCAGTTTGCGCGGAGACAGCCATCTGTCGATTTCTCTGTTCATTACACTCAGAAGTTCCTCCCCTGTGTGACTACGTTCGCCAAGGCATACCAGGTGCAGCACAGCGTGACACCGTTGCGCCCTGCACATGTGATATGCCGGTCGGGTAATGGGACTTGGCACGGGGGTGGCGGCTGAGGACACGGCGGAAGAAGAGGTGGTAGAGGGCGGACATCTTTGCTGGACCAAGGACGTGCAAACGTGGAGGCAAAAGCGGCGTGACCTGTCCAAGTTGCTGGTGCGGCTGTGCCGGCACCACCACGTTCACCCAGTGGGCCGTAAATGACATGTACTGTCCCTGACCGTAGTTACAGCTCCACACGTCGGCGCTGCCGTGCACTTTGGCAGAGACCGACATGCTCAAAGACTGGCCCACCATCTCTTCTACATGTGAATGCAGGGCTGGCACTGCCTTTTTGGCGAAGAAATGCCGGCTTGGCACTCTCCACCGCGGCGCGGCACAAGCCATCATTTCTCGGAAAGGTGCTGAGTCCACCACTTGGAAAGGGAGGGACTGCAGCACCAGCAACTTGGACAGGAGGACGTTCAGCTTTTGCACCGTCGGGTGCGTGCTCGCAAACTGTTGTCTCTTGGAAACGGATTCCAAGAAAGACTGCTGACGGAATCCGTGAAGAGGAGTAGCAGGAGAAGGAGCATCTGAACGAGCGGAAGATGCCAACACGAGCGACAACTCCCCTCAGCAGAGGTGTTTGGAGCCTTGACTGGCTGATAGAGGGCGATTGACGTCGGGTGTGACGGAGCAAGTAACGGAGCGGGTGATGGAGCGGGGGGGGCTGGGGCAGGCAGAACCGCCGTATCTTTATCACGGTTTTCCCCCAGGCCACCGAATGGCGACGCTGCATATGCTGACGCAACGCTGTAGTCCCAACATGGGCCCCCTGGCCACGCTTGACTTTCTGGCCACATAGTCGACATACGGCTACGTTTACTTCCTCGGGCGGCTTGACGAAAAATTGCCACACCGCCGAGTAGGAAACTTTGCCCCCGCTACTCCTCACTGGCTGACTGCTACTTCCTCCGTGCACACCGGCACCACTACTGGCCGTGGTGGTAGGCTGCAGTGGAGCTGGTGCTCTACTCCGTGGCCGTTTGCCTCCACTCCACTGACACTGCTGCGACCCTGCTGCCTCCTGGGCAACCCACCGACTGTTTTGCTCGCTGCCAAGCTGGCACCCTCTTCTCCTGATGATGCGGAAGAAATAGCCTGATGACGACGAGGCTGCCAAGTGCGATCAGCCTCCTCATCATCAATTAGGGTCTCCGCCTCACTACTAGCCCCCCCCTCGGCTGCGTGTGGGTCAGGAGACAGACCTGTCTCTAGACCGGCTACCGAGCCACTCTCCTCGCCAGTACTTCTTCGCCTGGCTGCTGAAAGAGGCGGATGTCTCCCCCCCGTTCCTGACCGCCCTCTGTTAGCTCTTCCTCACTGTACAGTGGGGCTGAGCCCACAGCATGCGATACTTCGCTTGGTGAGGGAACACCAAAGGACAGGGGCAGGTAGAGGACACGTGATTTCAGTGGGCTTGCTCCCGGGCCATGCCAACTAACGGTTGTGTCTGACGTACCCACCGACCGTTGGCTGTAGGTGTCAGAGGTGACCTGGGAAGAGGAAGACGACCGAGCCAACCAATCGATGACGGCAGGGTTGTCGGTGGAGACACGACCGCTGGATGACACCGGGAGCACTGGCCTCTGGCTGCGACTAGTGCTGCCTCGACCCCTTCCTCTGCTGCCACGTCTGCTCGCTCCTAAAACATTGCCTCCTCTGCCACTCCTCTGCATGTTGTCTGACATACTCTTTAATTCAACGATTCTGTGTCCCTGAGTAACAATTCTGTGTCCCTGAGTAACAATTCTGTGTCTGTCCCTGAGTAACAATTCTGTGTCCCTGAGTAACAATTCTGTGTCCCTGAGTAACAATTCTGTGTCCCTCAGTAACAATTCTGTGTCCCTCAGTAACAATTCTGTGTCCCTCTGTAACAATTCTGTGTGTCCCTGAGTAACAATTCTGTGTCCCTCAGTAACAATTCTGTGTCCCTGAGTAACAATTCTGTGTCCCTGAGTAACAATTCTGTGTCCCTGAGTAACAATTCTGTGTCCCTCAGTAACAATTCTGTGTCTGTCCCTGAGTAACAATTTCTGTGTCCCTGAGTAACAATTCTGTGTCCCTCAGTAAACAATTCTGTGTCCCTCAGTAACAATTCTGTGTCTGTCCCTGAGTAACAATTCTGTGTCCCAGAGTAACAATTCTGTGTCCCTGAGTAAAACAATTCTCTGTCCCTCAGTAACAATTCTGTGTCCCTGAGTAACAATTCTGTGTCCCTCAGTAACAATTCTGTGTCCCTCAGTAACAATTCTCTGTGTCTGTCCCTGAGTAACAATTTCTGTGTCCCTGAGTAACAATTCTGTGTCCCTGAGTAACAATTCTGTGTCCCTCAGTAACAATTCTGTGTCCCTCAGTAACAATTCTGTGTGTCCCTGAGTAACAATGTGTGTCCCTGAGTAACAATTCTGTGTCCCTGAGTAACAATTCTGTGTCCCTCAGTAACAATTCTGTGTCCCTGAGTAACAATTCTGTGTCCCTCAGTAACAATTCTGTGTCCCTCAGTAACAATTCTGTGTCT